CTTTTGCAAATGGCTTTTTTCCTTGAGCATAATTTCCTTGAGATTTATCCAAGTTGTTGCATGTGTCAATAGCTCTTTCCTTTTTAAGTTGAATTCTATGGTATAATGTACCACAGTTTGTTTTACCAACCACCCATTGAAGGACATTTGTGTGGTTTCCCATTTGGGGCTATTAATAAAGCTGTTGTGAACATTACTGTACAAGTTTCTGAGTGAACATAAGTTTCCTTTCTCTGGGATAAATGCCCAAGGAGAAGAATTGCTGAGTTGCATGGTAGTTGCATGTTTAGTTTCTTAAGCCACTGCCAAACTATTTTCCAGAATGATTGTATAGTCTTACATTTCCATTAACAATATATGAATGATTCAATTTCTCCAAAACTTTGCCAGCATTTGAAGTTATTACTATTTTTTATTTTAGACATCTGAGAGGTATAACTCATTGTCATTTAAAATTGCATTTCTCTAATGCCTAATGATGACGAACATTTTTTCATGTGCTTATCATCTGTACATCCTCTTCAAAAATGTCTGTTCATGTCTTTTTCCCATTTTATAAATGGATTGTTAGTTTTTTAATGTTCAACTTTGAGAGTTCTTTATATATTCTAGATACAAGTCCTTTGTCAGATACACAATTTGCAAATGTCTTCCCAGTCTGTCATTTGCCTTTTTATCCTTTTAATATGGTCTTTTGCAAAGCAAAAAGTTTTAAATTTCAATGAGGTTCAATTTATCAATATTTTATTTTCTGGACTATGCTTTTGGTGTCAAGTCTATAAACCTTTTGTCTACTCTAAGTTCACAAGGATTTCCTCTTATTTTTTTCCAGAAATTGTATAGTTCAGTGTTTCACATTTAAGTCCATGATCCATTTTGAGTTAATTTTGCATAAAGTGTGAGATTTTGGTTGACATCCGGTTTTTTGCCTATGGATATCCAATTGCCCCAGCACCATTTACTGAAGACTATTCCTCCTCCATTGAATTGCTTTGGCTCCTTTGTCAACAATTAACTGGGTATATTTGTGTGGATTTGTTTGAGTTCCCTATTCTGTGGCATTGATTCATGTGTTTAGCCTTCTGTAAACACCACACTGCCTTGATTATTAGAACTATATAATAAACCTTAACATTAAAATAATAATTTCTCCCATTTTCTTCTTTTTTCTCAAATTTATTCTGGCTATAATAGTGCCTCTCCTTTTTCATGTGAATTTTAGCAGGCTTTAATAGAAATAACATTATACCTATAGATCAATTTAGAGAGAACTGACATCTTTACTATGTTGAGTCTTCTAATCTGTGACATGTCTCTGCAAATATTTAGGTCTTTCATTTCTTTCATCAGCGTTTTGTCATTTTCAGTATACAGATCTTACACATATTTTGTGCCTCAGTATTTCTCTTTTTGCAGCATTTATAAATAGCTTTTTTAAATTTTAGTTCATTGTCAGTATATAGCAATGCAATCGAGTTTTGTGTGTTGATCTTGTATCCTTCAACGTTGTTAAACTCATTTATTTCTAGAAGTTTTTTCATAGATTTGGGTGGATTTTTCTATATACACAATTAAGTTATCTGAAAATAGAAGAAATGTACAAGCAGGTCTTGGATACCCTTCACCTAGCCCCGACGCCGCCATTCCAATGTTAACTTCTTGCTGAACTATTGTACTACAGTGCAATATCAAACCCAGGAAACTGACACAACACAAATCATAGTTTATTCAGATTTCACCAGTTACACCTGCATTGTGTCTGTGTGTGTGCCTGTGTGTGTGTGTCTGTGTGTGTGTAGAGGCAATTTTCTCTCTTCTTTTCCAGTCTGAATGCCTTTTCTTTCTTTTTCTTGCCTTGTTACAGTGGCTAGAAGTACTAGTACTATGTTAAATAAGACTAGCGAGTGCAGACATTCTTGCTTTGTTCCCAGTCTCAAGGAAAGCATTTAGTTCTTCACCATTAAATACAATGTTAGCTGCATTTTTTCTAGAAGCTTTTTATGAGCTTGAGGAAGTTCTCATCTATTCATAATGTACTGAGAGTCTTTGTTATAAATAGGAATAAAATTGTGTTAAATTTGTTTTCTGCCCCAAGTGACATTATCAATGATGCTGGAATGGTAAATTATGTTGATTCATTTTTAAATATTGAATCAGCCTTGTATACCTGAAATAAATCCCACTTGGTCATAGTCTATTATTGTTTTTAATCATTGCTGGATTTGATTTGCTAAAATTATGTTGAATATTTTTGCATTTAAGTTTCTGAGAGATAATAGTCTATAGTTTTCTTTTTTTCTGTTGTGTTTGCCTGGTTTTGGAACAACAGTAATACTCACCTCATAAAATTAGTTGAATGATATTTCCCCCTCTTCTATTTTCTGTGGGAGACTGTATAAAATTGGTATTAATTTTTCCTTGAACATTTGATAAAAATCCTCTAGTAAAATCCTTCCATCTAGGCCTGGAAATTTTTTTCAGTAGCTATTTAATTACAAATTTAATTTTTAAATAGTTATACAACTATTTATGTTACCCATTTAATCTTGGCTGAGTTTCAGTAACTTGTGGTTTTTAAGGAATTGGTCTATTTCTTCTAAGTTTCTCATTTCTGAGCACAAATTTGTTCATAATATTCCCCTATTATCCCTTCAACAGCTACAGGACCTGTTGTGATAGCCTGTTTCATGCCTGATATTGGTTATTTGTATATTTTCTCTTTTTTAATCTCTGTCAATCTTGCTTGAGATTTATCAAATTCATTAATTTCTTTTGAATAACTAGTTTTTTGTTGCATTACTTTTTGTATTGTTTTCCAGTTTTCAGTGTCACTGACTTCTGTTCTTTATTATTTCATTCCTTCGATTTGCTTTGGGCTTGTTTTGCTCTTCTTTTTCCAGTTTCTTGGGATGAGAACTTAGGTTATTGATTTGAAATCTTTTATCTTTTTTACATAAGTAGTTGGTGTTATAAATTTTCCTCTCAACACTGCATCTCACAAATATTGATTACGTTTTTTTTCATTTTTATTTGGTTGTATTTTTGTTTTATTTCCTTTAAGGTTTCTTCTTTGATCTACAGATTCCCATTGTCTTTCCACTATCAATTTCTAGTTTGATTTCATTATGCTCCAAGAATATGTTCTGTACGATTTCAATCCTTTAAAACATTTTAGCTGGTTTTATGATCCAGGATATAGTCTTGGTGACTGTTTTGTGGGTACTTCAAAAGAATGCAGATTCTACTCCTGTTGGGTGAAGTATTCTATAAATGTCAGTTTGATCCTATTGTTTGACGATATTTTTCAATTCTACTGTATCCTTGCTGATCTTCTGTCTACTAGTTCTATCAACTGCTAAAAGTGAAATGTTGAAGTCCCCAACTATTCAATATTCTCTCCCCCATCTATCATCCCAATCCCACTCTCCACCCAAGGATCTAATACTTTGCCTTTTGGAAGCCAACCCCTTTAAAGGGTTTTAAGTAGGGAAGCCACTCCCTTAAGGATTATTGGCACTTTACACCAAGGCCCTGAGCACAGGTAAGATGTGGTAAAACCCAAGGCTGAGACTTGCTGAAGGTAGGTGCCAGAAGAGACACAGCCACACATCAAAGTCAGTCCAGGAGACAGCAGATGAGTCAATCAAGCAAAGCCAAAATTAATTCCAACCAGTAGGCTGGGAGAGGCCAAGAGCCAAATAGAGTAGCCAAAAGCCAGAGTCTCAATCAGCAATGAAGTCAGAAAGCAGCCAAGAAGCTCAAGAAGTGTCAGGATCCAGGACCTGGGAGGACATGTGAGGGTGTTATTTAATTTTATCTGATCCTTGATGGCCTAGCACTCCTATGATAGGGTCAAGGAACACCTTCTGGGCCATACTGTTATTCACCTTAAAGGTGTTTGTAACTTCTAACACAACCCAAAGGATTGCTATTGGGATGATTTCTGTCATAGCAACAAAACAGCGAGGAAGATATTTTTGAGGTATATTTTCTGAATATTCTAAAATCACTCTAAATGAGTCTCATCTGACATCTCATTAGCCCTGGTCAGGAGCAGAAATGCCTGTTGAAGCGTCATTAGGCAAGGTGATGTCTAGGGGCAGTGATTTTAGGAAAAAGGGGTAAGACTTCCACAACTTCAACTGATAAGCAAGATGTCTAATAACCCACAAACTACTTATCCCAGATTTCTAAGAGGCAGAAGGCGCCATTTAGATGCACCTTCATGATTAACCCACCCCTACCTTATGGTATTCAATTGGGGATAGCTCTGAAATTATACTGACAATATTCTTTTTTAATTTTTATTTTAGATGCAAGGAATACATATGCAGGTTTGTTGCATGGGTATCTTGGATAATGCTTAGGTTTGGGGTATGAATGACCCTGCCACCCAAGTAGTGAGCATAGTAGATAGGTAGTTTTTAATCCTTGCCTCCCCTCTCTCCCTCCCTCCTTTTGGAGTCCCCAGTGACTACTGTTCCCATCATCTATAATGATGCTGACAATGTTCTCAACTACATTAGCAAACTGCTAATGACTCTTATTCTTTGATACCAACATTCCAACCTGCATGACAACCCAGTTCAAGGCCCTGCCCCTGTCCTGCAAGCATGAGGTTTGTCCTTAAATCCACAAAGGTCTGGCCCAGAGCAGTGCCCTCAAAGTGATGTGACAGACCTGGAAGCAGAGGCCCTCAGGAGGTGCCGAGAGCTATACCTCTTTGCTCAGAAATGAGAGACAACAGCTTCATGTACTTCACAATCAACCAAAGTCAATCCCTTGCAGACCTCCACAGGACACCACCCATTGTCCTATCCCAGGCAATGAGAAAGTTGCTGGCCTCACAAGATTTTTCTCTCCAAGGTTTCAGAATTCCCCAAGATCAGGCATACAGGTGTGCAGCTGTAAAAGAAGTTCCAGGGTACCTTAGCAATCCTTCACATGCCACTGGTGCCAGTCTAATATGTATCGAGAAAAAGATGAAACAGAATGCACCCTTAGGAGATTACCGATTTATTTTATCACGTATTTTAAATGAGGCACAAAGTCTACATGAAAATAAAGTGGAACCAGGGCAACTGCAGAAAGTCCCGATCTCATGGCAAGTGAAAGTCTAAGTACACTGAGCCGGATCACTGTCTCATCAGACCAAGACACTATGTGGTGGTAATGTGCTGCTACAGTTCAGTACTGGACCCCAACAATAAAGCCGGGACTGAAATTACTATAATGACCTCCCACTGCTATTGTGTCTTTAATTAAGTCTTTATCAGTAGGCATTTGCCACTTAAACCTAACTCACTATAACTACGGCAGCGTATCATCTACATTTTCACAAAGAATTACTGAATCATATTTCTGTCACAAAGATGAAAGGGAATATTTCAGTTCAAGTGCCATTTGCAGACAAGCTGCATAAAGAAAAATCAAGCTGTCTTTTCGCGGCACTTTCTGACAAGCGAAACTCAACCGAGAGATGCCCGGGGGTTTGTGTATGTGTGTTTTGGCTGCGCTGGGTTTCTTTTTACCACAACTCCACTTCCTTTCTACACAAACTATGGGGAAAGAAAGACACCAAATGAATAACACACTTGATTACATAAAATTTATTGAGGTAGAAAGGGGCTGAGACCCTCCTGTGAGGCCCAGAGATGCTGAGGGTGCTGTCCCCTCACACTGAGGGCGACAGGCCAGGCCAGACCCACAGCTTACACCTCGCAGCTACGGGCTCTTCCCGCTCCATGGCAAGGCAGCTGAAAAAGCCTGTTTTACCCAACGAGGCACACTAGAAGTACCCTGGGCCTGGAGAGACCACATTCCAAGTTCAAGTTTCCAGTCCTAATCACTTCCTTACGTTAGCATGAAAGCCAGGGCTCAGATGGCTTTTTGGCAGAGCCCAGCTCAGCAAGCCAGACAGCCCTCTGTCAGGAAAAGCCGCCCCAATTCCAGGCCTCCTAAAGGGTGTCAGCCGGGAGCCTCTCCCTGCAGCGCTTGCCCCTTGAGGACAGAAGCATGAGCATCCCGCTCCAGTCCTCACTCCTCTGAGATGACTTGGTCCACCTAGGATCCAGGGAAAGCCCCCACCCCACGCCCAACCCCCAACCCCTGGGGCCAGCGAGTATGAGCCTCACTGGCCTGCACCCAGCGGCCGGGCCGTGGTGCCAGCCTTTGGGCTCTTGCACATCACCAAAAAGCCCTTTTGGCTTTAAAACCTGCTCCTCCAAAACGCATAAATCCCTTCAGAACTGGGGAAGGGCCTGTGCATTGCATGGGTAAGAGCTGGGGGTAGGGGGTGCTGTGAGGCCCCCCGAAGGAGAGGAAGGGGTGAGGGAGTCGGGAGGAGAGTCTGGATCTGCTCTGGGGTCAGCACGGCACTGGGTATCCCGTGGTGGGACCCAATGACTGAGCGGCCTGCAGCTCTGCTTTCCTGCCAACTTTCTGCCTGCTTATTTTAGGGGTGCAAACTCCAGCAGGGAAAACCTGATGCTGCCACCAATTTCCACCTTTTTTCAGTGTCATCTTTGGCCACAACTGCTCCCTGCTTCCTTTCGGTTCTAATTTCATTTTTAACAACATAAAGGTTTTGCCTGGGCACAGAGGAACTGAAAATGAGAGCCAAACGGAGAGTGGAGAAGGAAGCATGCTTCCTGGGGGGCGCCCCAGGGGAAATTTTATTCAATTTTCTCCCACATATTTGCACCCACTGGGGAGCATCTCAGGTTTTCCCACCTTGGCAGGGACACTTGCCTGGAAGGCGCGACCCAGCTTAGGTGTGGCCACTGCTGCTGGCTTGTTTCTACAACTGCACTGCTGAAGTCAAGGAGTCAAGCCTGCAAAATCCAGCAAACAATTCCATGTTCAGAGAAGAAATCGAAGCTGCCCTCATCCCCGAGTTCAGCAATAATTTCAGGATGCTTAATGTTTGTTTCCACCTATTGAACAAAGGTAGCCCTTTAGCCTAGAATCTACACACTTCCGATGACATAGGTGAGACCAGGAAGCTGGACTTGGTTTTGAATACTTTCAGGCATGGCACCTTGCTGGCCATTTGTCCTTGTTCTATGAAGAGCTCTTCTCAGTAGAGATATGTGTCTTCATATCTTCAGTCCTTTTTGCTTTGCCTCAGTCCTCTTTGCTTTGCTTTTCCCTCCTTGGCTGGCCATTGTGCCAGTGTTGCCACTATCGGTTAGTTCTCTCCGGGGTCTGCGCACAGCCAGGATGCATCTTGGTCAGTGTCAGTGGGAAAATGGGGCTCTGAGCACAGTGAGCCTGTGTTTATGAAGATCACTGCCACTGCTACTGCTGCAAGTGGACTTCTCATGACAGTCCACACCTGGGCTCCCAGCCCTCCTTGATTGAGCCTGCAGCTCTCACAGAGCGCTTAGCCCATCGACTGTTTCTGCTAATGCTCTCAGCTGCTACCTTTTCCGCTGATGAAGCACCCAGCCGAGTGATGAAAGATATAAGCCAGAATCCACTCTATGCTTCATCAGACAAATGCTTGGCTTTCTGGGGGCCAATACACCTTCTACTGACTGACATGTTTCTAGGTTCTTTACCACGCCCTGCTGCGGTACACATTAGGATGTTTCTCTGGGTAAATGCCAAGGTTCTCCCTGGAGGGGAAAAGAAATGTCAGAAACACCGCTCCTATTAAACAATCTGAAATTATCACATACCTAAAAAACATATTATCTAGAAAGAATCTCTCCTAGACATGATTTTCAACAGAGAGGTAATTCCCACCCCTCATAACATGCAGCTGAGCCCATAGCATGTCATAAATATTTGTTGAATATAAATGAATGATGCATGCATAGATGAATAAATGATTTTTCCCCTAGTGACATACCTGATTTCCTTCCCTGTTCCCTTGCTTGCTTTATTCTCAAGCATCTGGTTGCCATTGACTTACAAGAAGCCATGTTTTATTTTCTACATGGAAGATGATGGGAACAGTGCAGGAGATAAGAGAACTAATATACATTACTATGAAAGAAAAATAAGAACAGGAAAACTGAGAAAAAGCAGGGGTATGTTTATCTTAGAATACCTGTTCTCAACCTTGTCTGTGCATGAGAATGTCCTGAGGAGCTTTAAAAAGTACTGACGCCGGCCAGGCACAATGGCTCACATGTAATCCCAGCACCTTGGGAGGTCAAGGTGGGAGGATCACATGAGGTCAGGAGTTTGAGACCAGCCTGGCCAATATGGTGAAACCCTGTCTCTACTACAAATACAAAAATTAGCCAAGTTTGGTGGCAGGTGCCTGTAATTCCAGCTACTTGGGAGGCTGAGACAGGAGAATCATTTGAACCCAGGAGGCAGAGGTTGCAGTGAGCCGACATCATGCCATTGCACTCCAGCCTGGGCAACAAGAGCAAAACTCCATCTCAAAAAAAAAAAAAAAAAAAAAAAAAAGAAGTACTGATGCCTAAGTCCTACCCCCAGAGGTCCTGACTTAATTAATATGGGGTGTGTTCTAGCCATTGGGATTTTTCCAAGTGTCCCAGGTGATTAAGCTGTACAGCCAAGTTTGGGAAACACTGGTTTATAAAATGTCTGCCCTAAAAGACTGGATGCCGGCTAGAGGAGAACAGCAAACTTGGCTCTGAGCCTCTTAGCAGCCAAAGTGAAAAGAAAAAAACATAATCCCTTGCATGATCCACAGTGTTCATGGGATAAAATCAAACCCCAGTTGTTTAGAAACAGTCAACCCTGAGACAGACAGTAAGAGATTGGCTGGGGGTCCTCATGAAGAAGACATGGAATGAACCAAGCAGCAGCATCTTCAACAGTGTCCCTATAGTATTCAATCAAGGAATATTTATTAAGCACCCACTATGAGGTCAACTCTGTTCCAGATAAACAGACAGACTTAAAACCTGTGGTGTGTGTCCAATATAGCATGTCTAGTAGGTGGTGGAGCTAAGATTCAAAACACAGGATTATCAGACTCAAGTCCATGCTCACTCCATTATAAAGTAGCATGGTACTACCTGGGAGTAAATATAATAAGTTTTGGATGACTTGTTGTCACAATATGCTTTAATATGAGATAATAGCATCATTTCAGCCACCATTCTTTTTTTTTTTTTTTTTTTTTTTTTGAGACGGAGTCTCACTCTGTCGCCCAGGCTGGAGTGCAGTGGCGCGATCTCGGCTCACTGCAAGCTCCGCCTCCTGGGTTTACGCCATTCTCCTGCCTCAGCCTCCTGAGTAGCTGGGACTACAGGCGCCCGCCACCGCGCCCGGCTAATTTTTTGTATTTTTAGTAGAGACGGGGTTTCACCGTGGTCTCGATCTCCTGACCTTGTGATCCGCCCGCCTCGGCCTCCCAAAGTGCTGGGATTACAGGCGTGAGCCACCGCGCCCGGCCTCAGCCACCATTCTTAAAACAAATCTTCAAGAAGTTAGAACCACATGATTCCAGCTCTACTTAAACTACAGATGCATTTATCCTTTCTCCCAGCAGAGGTGTTCCTACAGGCATACCAGTAAACATAGGACATACAACCCAGGATGTTCATTGTAGCATTATGTCTAATAGCAAAAGACTAGAAACCATGCAATGGGGTACTGGTTGAATAAACTATGATATATCCATGCTATAGCATAATATACATCTATGAAACATAAAGAAGACAGTCTGGGCAACATGGCAAGATCTTGTCTCTACAAAAAAAAAATTTTTTTTAATTAGCCAGTCATGGTGGTGTACCCCTGTGGTCCCAGATACTCTGGAGGCTGAGGCAGGAGGATTGCTTGAGCCCAGGAGGTGGTGGCTGCAGACAGCCATGTTTGCTCATTGTCATGGGTGACAGAATGAGACCCTATCTCAAAAAATAATAATAATTTTTAAATGTTTAAAGATAAGGAACATCTTTGTGTTCTGACACTATGAATGAAAAAAAAAACCAAGATATTGTTCAGGACAGTGTATATATAATAGGATGCTTTTTGGGTAAGGAAGGAAGAAAAATAATAATATATATAATAAATTTGCTTTTGTTTGCATAAAAAGCACCAGAAGAAACACTAAGAATCTAAGGACAATGGTCAGGGTAGAGGTGAGCACGATGAATAAGGACAGGACAGAACAGATTCCGAGCACACATATCCTTATATTGTTTAAGTCTTCAAACATGTCAAAGTATTCCCCATTCAAGAAGAGAAAATAAATAATGAAAAAGGGAACTGGATGAGGGCTGAAGTCCCTCAACTAGTAAGTGGTAGAGCTGAAATTTGAACCCAAGTCTATCTGTTCCCAAGTCCATAGTCTTGACACCATAGTGGTCACCTCCGCCAAAACTTAGGGAAGAAACTCACCAGGTGTTAGCCAGCTTGGGAGGCTGAATTGGCTGCAGAGGGCCCTGCTCCCACTCTCAGAGTTCCCCCAAAGGAGTTCAGGATCTAGGAGTTTCAAAGCACCATTGCAATCAGGTATGTTTGTTTGTTTGTTTTTTAATCTCCATCAAAGAATAGGGCAGCAGTAACCAACCAGTCCGGGTGGAAAGCCATGTGCTCTGGGTTCACTCTAACAAAGACAAGTTGGGTACATTTAAATTTACAGCCATTTGTAATCCAAGCATTTAGAACTCATCTGTTTAGGGTGAGTTGTGGGCTACAAACCCTCCTGGTAACAAATAACAATACATGCCAAACACATTATACCTGTTGACCTGGTTTATGGCTGTGTTTTGGCTTATATTAAGGAAAGGGCTGCTTCTGTCAATACAAAGATGCTGTTCTACACTGAAGAGAAATTTCAAACAAAATCTAGAACTTTACAGCCTGTCTGCTCTGATTTGGAATGGTATGTAATTTTTTACCCTCAGCTTCTTTTCTCAAGTTTGAAATCATCCCAAAGCTGCCTGAGAAGATACTTAGAAGAATTATTTTTGACATCTCAGGCACAGATGGTAGAGCTGCCCCCGAGATGACACAGCTGATCAGAAAGTGTTTATGCAAAATTCCCCCATTGCCCACCATGTTGGAGAAGCAGGTTCAGAGACAAAGGGTGGCACCACTGACCTGGACAGTGTAGAAACTCTTCCTAAGTTGTTGGTCCCTGCCTGACAGGGGATCTTGCCTAAGCTGAACTGATCTCCTTTTTCTCTTGGAGGGTAGGAAAGGAAAGACGGATCAATTTCCCTCCTTTCTCTTGAACCCAAGCCAGCCATGCTTGCTTTGCTTCCAAGAAAGTAACACGAACTGCCTGAGGTTTGCGGTTTTTCCAGGTCTGGATGGGGAATAAAGAATTATTCTATAAAAGGGGCCCAGATTGACAATACATTGAATTTTAAATTCAAATGCGTAGAGCCAGGGTCTATTTGATATAAGATGATTAAATGAGAGACTATTGTCGGCGGTCTTAGATTCCTCCCTTTCTGTCTTTATTCCCCCTTCTCTTCTCTTGGTAACCTAGTAATATCTACGTCAGTTTGACTAGCTTGGGCACCTACTAGGTCCTTAGTCCATGGTGCTAGAAATAAGATGGTAGTGGAAATTAGGGGAAAAAAAATCTAAAAAGATCACTCCAACAAAATACGGTGAACACTACAATAGAGGTGTTCAGACTGTGCTTTGAGAGCATAGATAGGGGGCTCTGGGAAGATCAGGGAAGGCTTCCTAGAGGAGGTGATATTTGAGCCCAATTTTTAAGGTTATATTAGGAGTTAGCCAAACACTGGCTTCAAGTTCAAGACTCTGCACTTCAAAATGCCACCAGAACCAGCAGCTGTAGCCTATTCTCAGTCTCAAGCAAAATGTCCTATCATGTAAATTTACCTGCCATTTTCAGAAACCATTGCTGTTTTCAAAGAACTAACTTTGTTTTAGTATTCTTGCATTCAAACGATTTTAGGTAAAGTGTTTCCAACTGTTGGCAGCTACCATACAGCACTTCATTTTCAACAAGTTCTTAACTCCCTTAACCCACCTAGGCTGAAAGTACTTCTGCTAGGGGAATTTAACTAGCATACCTGCATCCCCCATCCCATTATTTGGCCTATCTACCAAATAATCTGGTGGAATACATTTAAGCAGACCCACGGAAGCCATTAAATATCACTTTTAAAATGGGGTTCTATAAAAGTCAACCTACAGATGTTTGTTTCCTCACCTCACCACGCACCCCCCACCCACCATTCCGAAGCACACACACACGCAAGTCTCCTTTTTAACTTCCCTTTTGATGTCTTTTTGTTCTGATCCATGCCTAAAGAAGAGCCAAAGTACAATGCAGAAGGGGGCAGACCCTAATCTGTAAACTGTGTCCTGCTGTCCCAACTGAGAGCAGCTGGAACCCCTCACTCTTCACAGCTCTCTAGGCATCATCTGCAGTAGCCCCAGCCCATATAGTAACAAAAGCTGCTATTTTGTGACTGTCTTTGCCGTGTCAGGTGCTGCATTAAGCACCTGGTCTGCATTAGGCCATTTCATTCTCGCAACATCTCTATAACCTTATCGGAGAAACCTAGTAATAATCTCTTCAAGGGCAAGTTAACAGCAGGTAGGTATGTGATATTTGAATACAGAGTCTGGCTCTTGGACCCATACGACAGATACATCTTAACCACTTGTCATGATGAAGAATAGAGTCTTCAGGGCCCCAGACCAGAGTGTGAATCTCAGCTCTGCCATTTACTTAGGCGAAATGACACTAGGCAAGTTATTCATTCTCTCCAAGCTTCAGTGCCCTCATCTGCAAAATGGGATGAGTAATAGAACCACTTCATATGGTTATGGAGGGATAAATGATGCTGTCTTGCATGTATAGAACTTGGCATGGGGCCTAGTAGTTTGCAGGTGTTCAAACATGTTAGCTATTGCTATTACTACATATTTACAAATCTGTCTATCGCCCCACACACCATCTCATTAACCATGTCATCGAGGCCAGGGATCAAGTTTATTAATATCTTTCTCCCCAGGTGCCCAACTGAATGCCTTGGAAATGTTTGTTGAATGGATGGTTCAACAGCACTGGTTTTCTCCACTATTTCAAATGATCAAGCATGGCCCTCCTCTATTTTGACGCACAATATCCTCTTCTTGCTAAATTCTACTCCTTAACATTCAGAAATTAATTATCAAGTACCTAAAGAGATCATTCTCAAATTCTTAAATTAGAAGAGTTGTATGGTATTTCTTTTTTTTCTTGTCTCTAGAAAATGAGTGAAAGTCGGCCTCCCTTCCCTCTCCCAAATCTTCTTGGACTCTCAGAAGGAGAGACCTGGCATTTCAGGAAGGCCTCACTTTCACAAGTAGAGGGATGGAACTTGCAAAATAAACAATACCCAGGTTGGGACAGGGGTGGATTTTCACTTTACAAGGAGATTTCTACTTTCTTGAAATTTCAGTGATCTCTTCAAACTTCACTTTCTCCTAGAGAACTTCAAGAAAAATTTAGCTCCCCTGAAATACTTCGGGAGTGCATTCCTTTTGTAAAATGAGGCACACTCCTGTTGAACCCAGTTTGTTTCCCACAGCACTTTCTGGGCTCTCAGAAACCCCTTTAACACTGTCCACCACACAACCTACACATGTCTTTGCCCCATCTGAAGAGCGCATTCCTCCTGCTATCCACACCAAGCACAGCCCCAGCCAACATCAACTACCTGCCACCAAAATCTCCCTCCCACCCCTCCCTGTGACTGGGCCCACTAGGCCATCAGCAAGCATCCTGCTCAGTCAAGTATGTTAGTTTCCAAGGACTGCTGTAAGAAAGCACCACAAACTAGGTCAGGCACAGTGTCTCATTCCTGTAATCCCAGAACTTTGGGAGACTGAAGTGGGCAGATCATTTGCAGTCAGGAGTTTGAGACCAGCCTGGCCAACATGGCAAAAACCTGTCTCTACTAAAAATACAGAAAATTAGCTGGGCATGGTAGTACGCGCCTGTAATCCCAGCTACTCGGAAGGCTGAGGCAGGAGAATCACTTGAACCCAGGAGGTGGAGGATGCAGTGAGCCCAGACCACACCACTGTACTCCAGCCTGGGCAACAGAGCAAGACTCTCTCAAAAAAAAAAAAGACCACAAACTAGGTGGCTTAAAATAGCAGAAGTGTATACTCTCCAAATCCTAAAGGCTAGAAGTTCAAACTCAAGGTGTTGCCCAGGCCATGCCTCCTCTGAAGGCTCTAAGGGAGAATCCTCCCTTGCCTCCTCCAGCTTCTAGTGGTTGCCAGCAAACTTTGTCATTCCTTGGCTTATAGATGCTTCACTCCTAGTGCTGCTGCTGTCTCCAAATAGCCTGATTCCTTCTAAGCCTACGTCTGTGGCCTAATGCCCTTCTTCTTATAAGGATATCAGTCATATTGAAGTTAAGGTTCACCGTAATCCAATATGATCTCATCTTAACTTGATTATATCTGCAGTAGGCCTATTTCCAAATAAAGTCACATTTACAGGTTCCAGCATGAATTTGGGGAGGACACTATTTCAACCCAGTGCAAAAAGAGATCCGTATGAGTAGAGAGACTCAGCATCGACCTATGGGGTATGACATAGAGGGTTTCAGGAAGAAAATCTTTCTCCCCTTCCATTAAGAAATGTGCTATAGCGCCTAAATCCCACCATTAAAGAGACTTCTCTTTGGCTCTCGATGCCTTTTTAGTGCCAAATAAAATAAAAGCAAAACCTGTAATAATCCAAATGCTGTCTGGAGGAATGACATTCATAAATCATATCATATCATATCATATCATGCTTGAGTGGTCATCAGTCCCTTTTTGAGCATGACAGCTAGCAGAAGTGAGGTTCTGTTCGAATGGAGCCTGAAATCTGTGACTAGAATGAAGCAGGTAGCATAGGAAACCTAGGTAATAAGGTACCACAGGTAGACATGCCTTAGTGCCCGCTTTGGTAACCTACCATATCCCAGGGAGCCCAGAGCCAGACCAGGCACTATGAGGGGGCAGGAGGGAGCAGAGTGCATGTGTACTCCAGTTCATATTTATTGAGCACCTACTGTATGACAGGGACCGTGCTTGGTGTTTCCACACACATTATCTCTTTATAGCAACCTCATGATGAAAAACATACCATCTCTCAATTCACAGATGAGAAAACTAAGCCTCAGGGGAGTTACGTGGCTTGGAAAAGGTTGGGAAATTAGCAGTAATTACCAAGTTCAAGTTCAGATACTGACATGTTTTCCCACGTCACAGAGAAAAGGCAACAGAATCCAAGGTTTCCAGTCCCACTTCTGCTGGAAGCCAGTCCAGCCTGAAGCTCTCTCGCTATACATTCGAGTTTGCTCTTCTTAACTTCTGGTTTTAAATCTGCAGCCATTTTCTACTGCATTTCCAATGTGCCTCTGTATGTATCTTGGAGAGAGAAAAAAAGAGAATATATGGGTCAATATAAGCAGACTCTTAAAAGTGTATACTTTATCATTGTAATAATCATAATATATTTTACTTTACAGCCACTCATAACTGAAGCCTCTGGGCACCCTAAAAAAAACAGCTAAGAGAGAAAAAGAAATTATATTAAACAAAGGAAATACGACTATAAAACCCCAATAGCCAGGGAACTAAATGAACAACATAAAACCTCCAAACAACAAAACTACAGTGAAACCAAGAGGGGGAAAAAACCTTTTCACGAGCTTTACCCTGAAGAATTCTATGCTGTGAGATCACATCTGTTTAAAGCACCATAATTTATCGATATGACATCAAACCAGGAACCAGCCATTGTAAACCTTTCCCGCAGAAACTCTCAGAAAACTAACCAGGTGGTCGGTGGGGGGGTCTGTAGCACATAGCTGGGGCAACAATGGCTTTAAAATTTTATGTTCAAATACATCTATGTGAAGTTCCAAATCTTGGTACTGAGATGCAAAAGTGAGTTCATTCCATGGGTAAACAGAATTTACAAACAGGGCTTTTTTAACAATATTCTTTTTTTCTGAGATAGTCCATCCATGATTACTCGCTGATGACTTCTCAAACTGCTGCTAAATGGACCATTTTCAAGAACGGGTCCTCTTTAGAACTAGCCACTGAGTCTCAAATACTATGAAAGGCTTTGGGGAGGATAAAAGCTCTTTCATTTATAAAGTAGCTGAGTTACTCAGCCTATCCTCCCATTCTGATGTTGCAGCCATTTCACAAACAGAAATTCCTGTTGACCCACGATACCACCATAAACCTTTGTTTAGGAACCACTGTGACTGCCATATTCATGTTTGTGAGGGCAATATTTCCCCTAAGCAATTGCTTCCCACATCCCTCCTACATGCTTTCCTGTTAAATATGGGAAGCAGATCCTGCTGGGGAAAAAAATCTTTAAAAGATTTGTAAGGTTACAACAGCACAAGCGTTTAGAAAACTACCTGGTTAGCAAAATGAAAGAAAATATTTAAAATGCTGAAAGACAACCCCTGCCTGTATGTAAAATGTTGTTCAAAATGTTCATCCTGAAGTACTTTCTAGGTCAGTATAGATCTGGCCCCAGGAATTAGGACACTCGTGGCAGAAATGTGGACCTCAAGCCCAATGTAGCTTCAAGAGTAAAGCAGGTGAGAAAATAGTGCAGAGAGGAGAAAGAAGGCAGTATGGCAAGGAAAACTGACGATATAGGGGGAGCCAGGCATGCAGGAAAGTCAGCCCAGCCTGGGGTCTCACCTACGCTCTAATGCTTAGTAGCTAGAACACCTTGGATAAGTCACTTAACCTTCCTGGCCCCTGTTTTATCATCTCTGAAATGAAGAGAAAGTGCTAAGCAAACTCTGCTCTTTTTATTTTATGGAAGCCCATGCAGTTCTTCAGAGGAATGACCATCTCTCCATAGAACAACATGGCCAGCTCTCAGACACAGCATTCAGTTAAAAGAGCAAGCCATGGAATGACACACTGGGTAATACCATTCACATTTGGGAAAAAGAACCCACCCTGACAACTCTGGATGATTTCTACAGGCCCCTGGCTGTATGTGTAAGGGTACACAAAACTGTAGACTGAGGCACACAGGCCAAGGCACAAGGGTGGACTCTTCTGGAAGCAGGTTTAAACTAGGTCAGGGCAAGTGAAGAGAATATATTTATATATTGCTTGTGCAAGAGAGAAGAAAACTTTTATGTGGTCAGTAAAAACATCATCTAGCTTGTTTCAGGAATAAATACAGTAATTCTAGAAAAGTCTCCGCAGTCAATAAATGAGAGCTGGGGTTACAATGAGGCCAAAACTTGGAGAACCCCTGGGTTCAGGATGATGTAAATACGCTACCTTACTAAGCTGGGCTCAAAACCTACTTGAAATGGACCTTGTAAAGCATGATATGAAAAATGGAGTTGCAGCTGAGACTGGGGGAGCCCTGGGTGGGAGGAAAGCCTGGGGGGGTCCCCTCTGTCCCAGTATGTCAATCAGAGGGCTTCTTGGTGAGCCATGCACTATGTACCTGCCAGGCATGGGACACACACTTTCATCAACACCCCAAACCAGTTACTGGGAGCACTACTATGATTGATGGTACCTCTACCCTGCCCCCATATTGACCAAGGCAGAGAACTTCTGGTTCTTCTCACTTGGAACTGCCCAGGTGGAGACACGTTGATCTGGAAGAGTTCAGAGCCAGGATCCAGACTTCCCATTGCCCTCTTCATTTTGATGAGCTCTGTAGCATTGCTCGATTTAAGCAAAAAGAGCTTCCATGGGCCTTCCTGGAAATACCACAAAGACATTTCTTTTTTATACACCAGAGGTAAAGGTATCACTAGCACACAAGCAGGAGAAAATGAAATGACCTCTGGCAGCCTGCGATTCTCTAGTGCTCAAAATGTCCCTTCTTACTTTAGATATAGACTGGGAGTCAAGGCAAAATTGTATTTAAATGTAGGTTAACTATTTTATTTAGATGGGCCAATCACAGCAGGAAGACTACAGAAGATGACTGGGGACATCACTTGGAATCTGCACCAAAATGATTACGTTTTCTTCAATGAGCAACTGGAAAAATATACATTCAACCACATAAATAAAGTAGACATTAATCCAGAATCCATGCTCCATTTCTAGCAAAGGCTGTCAAGCTCTGAAATACAAGAATATCAGGAGGAGAGGCAAATTTCCCCTCCTTTGTTCATTCCATTTTGCACAAGTCAAATCCCAGATAAAGCCTCTTGCTGGGAGGAGGTGCAAATAGGTGAGCAGAGAGGCTGATGGCCTGTGTGGCTACTAGCTTACCTGCTCCAGAGGTCAGACTCCACCCACAAAGCTTATTTTAAAAGAAAAAAATGTAGGTTTTAACCAACTTAAGTATCAGTACACTTGGAGGGGAGGGGGATTATGTTGCAATTTTTTTCCATTTTGCCTGTGTAATAAAACAGTCCCTGTTCAATCTGGTGCACATCCTTTTAAAAAGTTTGAGTTCAATGTATGGGTATGTGGGTGGCGGGTGGTGGGGGTGTTAAATCAACTTTGGGTTTAGCAAATTAATGCAGGTTTGCCTGATTCTGGTGTATGGATCAGTTCCAGATCTGTTTTTAAGCACTAAGCTACTGAAGGATTATTATTTTTTGAATTTGTATTCCTTCTTAATCCCCTAATCCTTTCCGGAGAAATGTCCAGATTGTCAGGCCAACACATGAAAAAACCTCAGTGAAGCAGCAAGAAAAAAATATAAAACAATAGATAAATAACCATGGGATATATTGTTCAGCTTTTGTTGAGCTTGAAATGTGCCAAGTTGGAAATAGGAGAGAGAGGTTTGTGATATTCCACTGGAACATATTGTCACTGTTATAACCAGCCCACGTTCACCGGAGCTGCCAATTATTCCCCAGCCACCATTTTTTTCCTTTAGATTGATCTCCTGCTTGAGGCTGTTTCACACCCATGACTCTGAAGCTTCCCTAGTGGCATGTTGGCTAATTAAGAGCAAAATCCATCTCTTGATGAAATAATGCTGCCACTGAAAAGGAATTCTACTTTTTTTTTAATTCTTAATCAGGCTGGAAGGAGTAGTATTCTAACACTTGTATTACGCATAGGAAAAAAGGTCTATAGCTAGCAATTAGCAATGATGAAAAGGACAGCGATTTAAAGCATGTTGCAGTGACATTTTTATCAAATTAAATGAGTTTGCTAGGCCCACCAGCTGCATATGCTTATTGTCATTTACTGTTTGGACAGCAACACATCAGCCACTGAGTATCAGGAGGTGCCGAATTTAATAAGTCATTTTGACACTGGTGTGAAACGAACAGATCAGCATTCTGAGGAATGTGTTCACACTCTGAACAGACAGGCAGACATTCTAAGCATGTGAGGTGACACCAATCAACAGGAAGAAATGATGAAAGCCAGGCTAGGGAGCAGGCAATGGTGGTAGTGGTGACAATGGCAGGCGCGGAAACACACCACTGAGAAAAGAAAAAGATACGCACATGCACACATCGAACCTACCGTTTCCTGGTTTAGCTACACAGAGCATCTGAAGGGGAAAAGACTTTTCAGAAACACTGGGACATGTATCCATTCTAGATCCCGGACGTTTTCATGTATAATTTAAAAACCTACCCAGTTTTCTTAAAACCACCACTAAGAGAAGCTGATAAATCTTCAGATTCTGTTGTTGTTTTTCCTCCCTCATGTTTGAAATATGGCAAAAGAAACCAACAAAAACAAATTCTCTGCATGCTGGGAAAACAAATTTTCGTTTACCCTTTCTACCTAATATGTTTGCCCTAAACTGATTGCCTAGCTAGGATAAGAGGAGCTGGTATTACTTGGTTTTGATTTACAGTGAGGGAGGGTATATGTTGCTTTCAAAACTCTTGCTTGGAACGTAAGATGTGGAATGACATTCCGATAATCCCAGAAGCTATTTATGTCAAGGGTGAGATCTGATACCAATGTCTTAACCATGTACCTGGCATCAAAGTTAAAACACACCAGATAGTCGATTGCCAATTACCTCTTAAAACCTGCAGGTGTAATTTACAGCCTAACAAAGGTGACTAGTAATTAGTTCATGGCTTCAGAAGTTTCTAATGCCATCTAGTGGAAACGGTAAATCTGATCACTTCTGCATCAAAGGAGAGCCTCAAATTCCAGATAATATGTCATTACGTTGCTTCATATTGAGAAAAACTTTGTGCCAGAGTCCAATCTCAAACGTATCTCAAAAAAATTGCTACAGTGCTTTCACAAGACTAGAATACATTGCCTTGGGAAATAAGACTTGCCCAGAATACCCTTGGATGCCTGCCCACTGCAAATGAAATCATTATTAGCACCAGGCCACCACTGCCATGCCCGTAAGATCATTTTCTTCATCACTCTTCTCTTTCTTGTCTTCCAGACCCTAGAATCCAGAGATGGGTTCTTTGGTCAATTTTTAAAAATCATTTCGCACGTCTAGTGGGTTCCATAAAACCTGAAATATCTTTTGAAGTAAATTTTGCACTGATTTTAATCTAGAAAGTAGTTAAGGAAAGCTAAATACATGTTGATAGTTTAATACTGGAAGCTACTTAACTTTCAGCAGAATGTTCATAGATTTTCCTCCAGTGAAATTCTGTAGTGATATTCTGAGCAAGGACAGCATTGGAGACTTTCTGCCTCCTTTCAAGATGATCACCAAGCAGCTTTAGCCATGGAGCTATGACATGAGAATCAAATGGTGCCTCACATAATTGCAAACACAAAAATACTCCACATTTTATTTTGCATAGGAAGATGGGCAGGTGAACAGTCTCTGTTCACCTTTGCGTATGTCACTCTCCTCTGTATCCACACTCAAAGGCAGTCCTCACTAGGAGCATGGTTATGGGAAGAGAAATTACTGTGCAGGGAATCTGGAACTGAGTTCCAGTGCAAATTAATGTGAAACTCAGAGCTACTCGTTTCACCTCTCCCCACTCAGTTTCCTTATCCATCAAATAAGGAAGTTAAATACAATATCAACTCAGAAGTCTTTTCTTCTCTAAAACCCTGTGGTTTAGAATTTCAAGTCCAAAATTCAGATCTTCTGTTTCATTGTAATACTTGTATTTAAAAGTACTAACTTCATTGTAGTTATTTCACTTAAAATAATAATGTTTATTAAAATGAGCTTTATTATTTATTTTATTTATATTATGTTATCTTTATTATAATTATTTGTTTTAAAATTATTGTATTATCCCACTGTTTGGACTGCCATTGATTTTAAAAGCAACTTATTGGCAAGAGGAGAGGGCTATAGTTTTTTGGTATTTTTAGACGGAGTTTTGCTGTTGTCACCCAGGCTGGAGTGCAATGGCACAATCTCGGCTCACTGCAACCTCTGCCTCCCCGGCTCAAGCGATTCTCCTGCCTCAGCCTCCCTAGTAGCTGAGATTACAGGTGCCTGCCACCACGCCCAGCTAATTTTTGTATTTTTAGTAGAGATGGGGTTTCACTATGTTGGCCAGGCTGGTTTCGAACTTCTGACCCCAGGCAATCCACCCGCCTCAGCCTCCCAAAATGCTGGGATTACAGGCATGAGCCACCGTGCCCGGCTGGAGTTTTAAAGAGTTAAAAATAGAAAATATGGTATACCTTTCCTATATATGCCCATTTAGCGTTGCTATGTTGGATAAAATATATTTTATTTTAGTATATTTGTAAAATAAAGAACTTTTTCAGTTGGAAAGAAATATATAGTCTTGCCACACATAAAGTCTTAAAAAAAAAAAAAAGATAAATCATTTGTAGCTCTAACATCCAAAGACTTGTCTTGTTCATTTAACACAACAGTGTACCCCCTCAATCTTCTCCTCATGTGTAATATTCACATAATTTTATCATATGGCATAGGTAAAATTGTACATGCTGATTTTCATAATAGCATTCATTTTTGTGACAAGAAATATACAGTTTATTATAAATATACAAATACACAAAGAAATTAAAATCACCCAGAATCTCATGACTCAGATATCCTCATTTACTATTTTATTTCTTTAAATTTTTTTCTATGCATAATTTAACATGGTTAAGATTATATTACATATTCTGATTTTAAGTACAATTAACCCAAGAAGAGTCATTCACAATTCCTAGTTGGAAGATGTTATAAAGAGGTTTTAATCACAGATTATATCTGCCACTGGTAGGTTATTCATTTTTCATAATTACGAAAAAACCCTATATACTCAGGTCATTCAAAATGAGTTCTTAGAAGCATAAAATTATTACTCAAGTTCTTTGTCAATGCAATTTTTTTGTATTGCTGAATAAAAATCAGTTTCAATGGAGGGATAAAAAAATACTTTCTGGGTTTAGTAATTCTGCAAACACAATGCCCTGTCATTTAAATATTGCAGGCCCTTTTTTTGTACTAGAAAAGAAGTAGGTTGTATTGTTTTAAGTAGAAGGTGATTCCATCTGACCCATGGGGTAAGGAATATTACCCAAAAAAAAGTATTTCCTGATTCTGAAAAAATAGCAAAACCCAACAATAACAACTAATGGAAAATAGCAAAAACCAACAACAACAACTAATGGAAGGGTTATAGACCCTAGCTTTTTTTGCCCCTGGGTTATAAATCCATTTGAAAATACCTAATATAATTAGATTTTTTAATTATGGAATCTAAACAGAATAAAAAGCTGTTTGTAAATCTTTTTACATCATGGTTTCCAAGTCCTTAATCCTTCAATTGGCTGGAGTAAAACTTTGAGTAATTTTTCCAGTTGTGTACAGCTTGGCATATTGCAGAATTTTTAATATCGTCTTCACAAATTAACGCAATTCTTGGGTTGTGACGTCCCCAATTCTTAATCTTCAAAACTCTGTAGGTGGGCATCAGCTTCTTTAGTTCTCTAGGGGGAACTCTGAGGCCAGCCTGATTTTTGTTCCTTTGTAGACTAATTTTGAACCCAGATGCTTAAAGAGCTTTCTTTAGCCTCATAATTCAAAGACAAAGGGGGAGTCTAAGGGTAGACCTCTTTTCTTGGACGATATCAGGACCTCTGTGAGTCCTTTCCATCTACATTCAAGACTTTCTTTGCCTCAGGAAACTTTCTGCTTATTACATCTCTGATGGCCCCTTTTGTGCAACATGGAGGGTGAGCTCTTCCTCAACAGCACCAATGGTCATGTTCGCTCTTCTCATTCCTCTGGCCTCCATCTCTACCCTACCCCACATCGTTTTAATCTTTATCTTATTTCCCTCCATATCCAAGAAAAGTTTTATTTTGTAGTATCTGTGCACCACCCTGCATAACTTCATTACAAATTTCTAACCTCCCACTCATTTCTAACTTCCATACACTCCATTATTTCATATTTTTTAATTCATTCTACATTGTTTTGTTTTTACATCAACACTACCGCCTTTTTTTAGGTGGTACAAATGTAAACATCCCTAATTGAAAAGATGTTCTTATTTCCCCCAATTTTTCCTTTATAAGAAGAAAAATTTGATCCAAGCATGGTGGCTCAAACCTGTAATCCCAGCATTTTGGGAGGCAGAGGCAGGAGGATCGCTTGAGTTCAGGAGTTCAAAACCAGCCTGGGTAACAAAGCAAGACCCTGTCTGTATATTAAAAAATAATTTAAAAAGAAAAAAATAGTATGTAGAGAGTCTTCATCCACACATAACAGATGTTAATAGTTTATCATATTTGATTCTGATCTTTCTTAGACACATAAAATATCACAGATGAAGTTCAAGCCTCTATAATCCTCCAGTGTATTTGTTTTCGTGCTGCTGATAAAGACATACCCACGGCTGGGCAATTCACAAAAGAAAGAGGTTTATTGGACTTACAGTTCCACATGGCTGGAGAGGCCTCCAAATCATGGCAGAAGGTGAAAGGCACATCTCACATGATGGCAGACAAGAGAAGGGAGCTTGTTCAGGGGAACTCCCTTTTATAAAACCATCAGATCTCATGAGACATATTCAATCTCACGAGAATAATATGGGAAAGTCCCACCCCCATAATTCAATCACCTCCCATTGGGTTCCTCCCACAACACGTGGAAATTGTGGGAGTTACAATTCAAGATGAGATTTGAGTGGGGACATACCCAAACCATATCACCCAGATATAATTATTTTGAGGTTATTGTGTATCTAGTCATAGTTTCATACTTTTACTACTTATACATGGATTTATAAATAAATAACAGTGGGCTGTTTATTAAATTTCTATATGCAGTATCATATTGAAAATGGTATCATTTTACCACATTTGTTTTCTCTCAATATTATGTTCTGTGGAGAGGCCACATTTAGATGTTCCAGCTGACAGCCCCAGCTGAGGCATCACCCTACAGTCAGACTCCACCACCAGACATAAGAGTGCATGAGTCTCTTATACAATCCCACCCCATTCCTTGAGCTGCTCCAGCTGATGCCAACTAGAGCAGAAACAAGTTGTACACATGGATTTCTGCCCAAATTGTAGATTTGCAGGCAAAGTAAGTGATGCCATAGTTTTAAGCCATTAAGTTTTGTGGTAATTTGTTATACAGCCACAGCAATGTGAATGGCTTCTTCCTGTTCCCTGTCCTGGTTCTTCCCCTTCCTTACCTGTTCTCCCGAGAGCACTGTCTCGATAAATTATTTGCATATGAATTCAAGAGACCCAGGCAGAGTTATGGGATAGTCCACACGAACAGAGAAATTCACAACTTCTCTTAAAAGCTCTGTTTTCATTAAAACTGTATTCTTCTGCAAATCAAAGCCACAATGAGATACCATCTCACATCAGTTAGAATGGTGATCATTAAAAAGTCAGGAAACAACAGGTGCTGAAGAGGATGTGGAGAAATAGGAACACTTTTACACTGTTGGTGGGACTGTAAACTAGTTCAACCATTGTGGAATACGGTGTGGCGATTCCTCAAGGATCTAGAACTAGAAATACCATTTGGCCCAGCCATCCCATTACTGGGCATCTACCCAAAGGACTATAAATCATGCTGCTATAAAGACACATGCACACATATGTTTATTGCAGCACTATTCACAATAGCAAAGACTTGGAACCAACCCAAATGTCTATCAATGACAGACTGGATTAAGAAAATGTGGCACAAATGCACAAGGAATACTATGCAGCCATAAAAAAGGATGAGTTTGTGTCCTTTGTAGGGACATAAATGAAGCTGGAAATCATCATTCTGAACAAACTATTGCAAGGACAGACCAAACACCACATGTTCTCACTCATAGGTGGGAACTGAAAAATGAGAACACTTGGACACAGGGTGGGGAACATCACACACCAGGGCCGGTCATGGAGTGGGGGGAGGGAGAGGGATAGCATTAGGAGATATACCTAATGTAAATGACGAGTTAATGGGTGCAGCACACCAACATGGCACATGTACACATATGTAACAAACCTGCATGTTGTGCACATGTACCCTAGAACTTAAAGTATAATAATAAATTTTTTAAAGATCTTAATAAAAATAAATAAATAAATAAATAACTCTTCTTCTGTGGTATCAGTCATTGGGCAAAATAAGCAATTGAACTAAAACGAAAAGGTGGCAAGAAGGAAGAAATATGCTCTCTGAATTCTCCTCTGAGTAAACACATTAACGGAGGAGTCAGAGAACCAAGAAGCACCCAGAATCACTGTTAACAACAGAATTATTTTGTAGAGAGTCCCATCTTGTAAAGGCAGTGCTTAAAACTTTCGCCTTAATAATCCTGAAAGAATCCCTAGGAGATTTTTCATCTCCCTCTCTCTGGTGGGGAAAAAAAAGAGCAAATCCCATTGCCCTCCTAATGTTTGCTCTCTAGTGAAATCACTGGGGTTCCTGTGAACAGGTGTCCTGCCAAACAGCTGGATACCAAGAGCAGGGAGGAGAGTGAGCATTAGTTCTGAGTCTCTAGTTCCACCCCTTGGAGGAAGAGCCTCTGCCAACAAATAGTTTACGGGGCAATAGAATTTCATTTGCTGATGAGTGTTGCTCCTCATAGTGATCTGAGCATTTCTTAGAAAATGACCTTCTCTTTACCCCTGGTGCTTGACTCTAGTCCAGTGACCTCAAGACAGCAACAAACAGCTGATATGCTTTATGGCAGGTATTTCACATACTAGGTCTTTGGAATGGATATCTCCTTCTGAAGTCTATTCTGCAGCCACTCCAGCATGGTGCATATTTCCAAGTGATTTTGACCTTGGCAAGCTCCAGTTTTAGAGTTCCTCTCAATGGTATCACTATCCAAGACTGCAAGTTCACAGACAAACCAACATCCTACGGCAATAGTCACATAATTACAGGCTTCTTTTAGTCTTCTACCAGGTCCCTTGGAAATAATTCAAAAATAATGAGCATACTTGGAGCACTGTGAAATAAGCCTTAGAGAATTTTCTAGGATGGGATGTATTTAAATTATTCTCCATCTTGGGGCTTTATTTGCATTACAAAATTCCTCCCACCTCCACCATGGAGGGCAGTTTATCTTTCCCAGGCTTTATGTTTCCCCAACCATCTGGAAAATGAAGCTAACCTAGGAGACACTGGAGCCCTTCACAAAAGGCTGCTCTATTTCCCTCCTAAACTCACCTTGGCCACTGTCTCATGCCCAGGAGAAAGCCTTACGCTGAGTCTGTCAAGAAGCTGAGCCTCTCCTGGTGTTCTTCCAACAGCAGTGTAACAGCACCCGTGGAAAACAAGGTCTCAGGTCAGCACGAGGGTTGCAAACTCCTGTGGCTCAGGAAAGTCCATCTGTCCTGTGCCTTCAATGGCCAAGAAAGAGAAGAAAACATTTGTATCACATGCAGTTGTGAGGTCCTCTGACGCAGATTCCAGAAAGCTGTATGGAAGGTCACTCCCAGAATGGCAATCACTTCATTTGGCCCATCCCCATAAGATACCTTTAAATTCTAGCAAACCTGAAGATGTCTTTAGAGCTTTGGCATTTGGCTTTTCATTTGTTTTTATTTTGACCTTTTTTTTTAACCTTTGCCTATGTTTCCCAGGATCAGTTAATTTAATCTGCAATAAACTGAAGTACCATAAAATTCATGGCAGAGTTCAGCCTTAGGGGTCAAGCAACCTAGATTTCAAGCCCCAGCTGGTTCTGTATCTTAATTTCTATTTTTGTGACCTTGGAGAAGTTATGTCAACTCTCTAAGCTTCCATTTTCTTTTCTCAAAAAAAAAAAAAAGTATAATTCTCTATAGAGTAATTGTGAACATTTCAGGAAATACTGCATGTAAAATACTAAGTTTAACACCTGACACCAAGTATGGATTCAGCTAATATTATCTATGTGAAGACAAATCCTATGAAACTCCATTTCATCCACTCATGCTCTGTCTGGAATATTCAGGACCAGGACTCTTCTAAAAACAAGGGGGATAATCTTGTAGCATGTGGTGAAACCCCATTTCAAAGGCACTAAAGTAGGTATTAGACACACACACACACACATACACACATACACACACACACACACACACACACAAATAGAATAATCTGGATGATCTCCTGCAAGCACTAAACCTAAGAGAGAATAGGTTCCAGGCCAACACACATTTTCTGCAAAATTGAAGATCCACCCCACAATATGTACTATGTTGTTTAGACCTGGAAGCTTCTTTATGCTAGAGACCTCATTTGGGGACTCTTATGCAAATGGGATGGACAGGGTTTTGAATTGTATTATTAGTTGTTGGGGATTCTTTCTGCAAAGTTGTCCAGAAATATAGAGATTTTTTTTATTATGAAAAACTTCAAAGATACGCAAAAGTAGACAAAATAGTATAATAAACCCCTATGTTCTCTTTATTCAGATTCTACAACTATGAATTCGTGGACAATTTTGTTTCACCTAGACCCCCACCCACTCTCCCCAGTCCTATTATTTCAAAGCCCATCCCCAAAATTATATCATTTCATCCATCAATATTTTCTATGTGTTTCTCAAAGGATTCACATTTGTAAGATCTAACTATATATCACTATCACACTTAAAAGCTTAATATCAATTCTTTAATATCAAATGTCCAGCTAATGTTTAAATTTCTAATTTGTCTAATAAATGTCATACTACTTTAACCGTGTATTTGTTTCAATAAGAATCCAAATAATGCCTATACATTTCAACTGATTTCTTTCTTTTCCGTCTTTTTTCCATCTATAGATCTTCCTCAATATTTTCCCTTGCAACTTATTTGTTAAAGAAACCAAACTGTTCTGAGTATCCCAGAGTCTGGATTTTCCAAAAAGCCTGCTAAAGGGTTCTTAACTTTTCATAGTTAACCTCTAAACAGGAGGAGGGATAGAGAAGCTGAAGAAGCTATTAATCTGCTGGTGAGAACATTTTTATACTTTTCCTAAAGGCTGCTGATGCAATCGACAAGATCACTGTCATGTCAGTTGCAGGCTGCAGTGAGGAAGCCCAAGATTTGTTATGCCCCCAGGTCTTCCCCTATGTTCCTTCTAATGAAGACATCACAGGCACAAGGGCTCTGTGTACCTCATTATCACACACTGTTTTTCTTGAGACCCTGCTCCCTTCTCTCTCCCTGACATAGGCATGGGTCTGTGCAGTGGAACTAAGGGGATGAAGATGTGGGTTTAGCAGCAAAAGGCAACAGGTGGGAGAATGAAAGGGTGAAGAAATAGGTAGATGAAGCCAAAAGCAGGGGAGTCCAGGATTATGGATGGATAGGATGAGCAGACAGGGTATAACAGGGGTGTCACAGCGAAGGTGGTGGCTCTGCCGTGATCACTGAGTCTCATGCCTGGTGACAAGGAATTAGGCCACTTGGGCTGGGAATACATATGACCTTTTCCTCTGCCGTGAACACAACCTCTGCTACCTCAAACTAAAATCCTGTAAACAACTCAGCCATTGTAGGAGATGCATTATGACTTGAGTTGTTATGACAGATTAGATCTGGTTATGCAGTTATGGCAGCCCGTGCTAGGAAAGCTGTTAGCCCGATGACTACTTTATTCTTCCCACACGAGAACCCTGCAGTGAGAACTGTTCCCCTTTTATATACCATAGTAAGATTCTAGAGCCTTCCCCTATGCTATAAAGGATCACATAAAAACAGCAATACCTTGCTGACAGAGAAATAATATAAAGCAGAGGTATATTTTCATAAAATAAAATGTTGATGCAATTCATGGACATTGAAGGTATACAGTCAGCCCTCCATATTCATGAGTTCTGCATCTGTGCGTTCAACCAATCAAGGCTCAAAAAAAATTCAAGAAAAATAATTGTTTAAAATACAAACTGTAAAATAATATAGTATAATAGCTATATATACAGCATTTACATTGTACTAGGTATTCTAAATAACCTAGAGATGATTTAAAGTAAACAGGAAGATGTTCGTACATAGGCTACATGCAAATACTATGCCATTTTATGTAGGGGAGTTAAGCACATACAGATTTTGGTATCTGCAGGGATCCTGGGACCAATTGCCCAAGGATACCGAGGAACAATCATCCTGTATCTTCTCCTTTTTATTCTCTTTTGTTCTCATAATAAGCTTTGAAAATTAACAAATTTTTTTTCTCATGTAAAAATCCCTCATGAGAAAATAAAATTCCCTTCATGACACTAAACCCCTTCATGAGAAAAAAAAAAAAAAAACTGATGATATCCACTTCTGGCAATGGTGGCAATGCTTGTTAAATGCTCACCTTCCCACTGAAAACAACTAGAACACCTGGACTAGATACTTTTTTAAATGTATTTGTTGGCTTCAGAGACCTACCAAGCTGAGGAAGACTTGAGGAGCCACATTCTTGGAGAGAAAACTGCAGAGAATTGAGTCCACTATTCATCACTGCTTTTGCCCTCTTGGTGTTCACAGGTTTCAAAGCAATAGCTAAAAGGTTGAAAGCCTGAGCAGAAAGTGGCAGCTGAAAGACTAGACAGAGCATTGACAGTCTCAGGTGGGGAGGGAAGCAAAAATTGGAGTTCCGAGATCACCAAAGAGAAGGTGCCCTGGTAACCACATTATGCTTTCAGTTGGGACTCCCACTGGCTATACCCTAGGCATAATGGTGAACAAAAATTAATCCGACCTCACAAAATCTGAAGCCTACCTTCAAATCGTCTCAATCCCAGGTCTGATCAAGGTGATCTGTCCCTGGGTTAACTTCATGCCAGACACAAAACAGGTCCTCTGGAAAAATGTAACATCATACGTAACTTCAAATTAGCCCTACAGTTCTTACATGCATGTCTAAGCATGCTAGGAGATGAGATCAAATAACCAAAAACCAACAGAAAAGAATAGACAGTAGAAACAGACTAACACAAAATCAAGACATTTGAGTTTCACAGATTATAAAGTAATTGAGATTAATTTGTTCAAGATATTATATGATGAAATGGAAAATATCAAACTGTAAACTTTTTTAAAAGGATCAAGTATAAATGCTAGAACAGAAAAATACAACAATTGGAATTAAAAATTCAAGAGTGGGGCTTAGCAGCAGTTAAAAAGATAATGGTTATATGGAAGATAGGCCAGAAGAAAATAGCCAGGCTGTGGGAAATCCAAATCTTAATAAGCAGAGTAAAATTTTGAATGTCAAAGAAAAAGAGAAAATCCTAAAAGCAGATGGGACAGCGGTGGAGGGACACATTACCTTTAATAGAGTGACAATAAGACTGACAGCTGAATTCCCAACAGAAATAACTGAAGCTTGCCGGACATGTCCCCAGATGACATTGGTGACCAATTCTTACTTTCTTTTTTCGCTTACAATTCTCTAGAATAACTATAGAATATGCTGGGAATGCAATGGCCTGAGATAAGGAAGTACTAGCCAGAACAGCCTGGGCTCTGTTCCAGTCCCTCCTGGAACAAGATCTCCTGCAACACTGTAGCACAGTGAGTCCAGTTTCCTCTGGTATAAAACCCAAAGTGGAACACATTTTCAGGGACCCTCAGCTGTGGTGAAAAGTGGGATAAATCCATCCTCCCTGGGCAGATTTCCTGAGCCTTAGGGAACCAGCTCATCATGAATCCTAGGTTTCTACTGTCCTCTGCTGCCTATCTATGAGTAAAAAAGTTGCTTCACTTAATTTCTTGTGTTACCAGATTCATGTAAGTGAATTGAAACTAGTGCAGTGTTTAGAGTCCTTCCTTGAGATTGAAACCAGTACACAGTGAACATGCTTCACAAAGCCAGGAGACAATGGAATGATGCTTGCAAACTGCTGAAAAAAAGAACAGCTGAGCTTCCACTTCCAATATGGTAAAGTAGCTGCTACCATACCCAGATTTCCCACATATCACAACTATAAACTCTGGACAAAATTAGAAAAAATAAAAACCTGATGACATTGGAAAGTGAACAAACACAGGTAAATTGTGAAAGAAAGTAGACACTTGGAAAAAAGGAACAGCACGGGGTGAGTTGCCCATTTTTACAGCATTTTGCCTGAGTGTAGGCCAAAGTTGGTGCTGCACACTGTGGTTCTGATAGAACTCCACCAGCACACCTCTACCGCACTGGCTTGAAAAAAGCAGAAGACAGAGTTTACGATAATCAGCCACTGGAAGGGAGAGGGAAGTCTCAGAAAGGATACAGTCAGAAAGAATGACCACAATGTCTGTGTTTAAACAGCCCAAATCTCTGGCTAACCCCCAAAGCACAAAACCACAAGGCAGATTCTAGCTAAGAATATGAGCTTTGAATACCTGTGGGATGATATCAAAATGTCCAACATACATATAACTGGATCCCAGAAGAAGAAGAAGAGACAATAGGACATAAAAAATGAAGAAATAATTTCCAATTTTTTCCAAATTTAGTGACACACATAAATTTACAGACTCAAGAAACTCAGTGATTCATGAGCACGACATACACACATAAAATGACATCAATATCATCAGACTCAAACTGCTGAATACCAAAGATAAAGAGAAAATCTTGATAACAACCAGAGAAAAGAATACAAAACACACGGCTAAACAATGATTCAAAATATCACAAACTTCTCACTTGAAACTAAGATACCAGAGACATTGGTAAAACACTGAAAGTGCTGGAATAGAAAGCTATCAACCAAGAATTCTACATCCAGAGAAAATAAACTTCAAGAATCAAGGCAATATAATGTCATTTTCAGAGGAAAGGAAATAATTGCCAGCCTGGAAGTCTATACCAGTGAAAATATCCCTAAAGAAAGAGTGAAATAAAGATGTTTTAAGATAAAGAAACATTGAAATAATGTATTGTCAGTAGATCTGTACCAAAGAAAATTCTAAAGCAGGTTCTTTGAGAAGATGAAAAGGATCTCAAATGGAGCTTAGAAATGCAGAAAGAATTAAGAGCCACAGAAAAGGTATGTGGGTAAACATAAAAGAATATATAATGTAAAAACTATAATAATCTTGTCAAGGGAGTTAAAATATACACAGAAAAAATATAAATGACAACAGTAATACAAATCAGAAGTCAAATGAAGTTAAAGTGTTCTAAGGTCTTTGAATCGCTTGGGTGGAGGTAAAAGTACTGTTTTACATGTAGCGTAATCTAACCCGTGCCAGTCAGACCTCCCCTTCAAGACTTAGGGACTTATTCCTTCAGCTGTCACCTCTCCTTATGAGTTGCCATCAGCTGAAAAGGGCCACCTTGCCCAGTGACATGCCTCCTTCCCGAGGCAGCCTACATCCCATAACTGCTTAATGTGTGGATATAAAAGCCTGGCCCCTCACCCAAACTCAAGACAATGCTGAAAAGCCATCCCCACTTCCAAGGTTCCCTGGAGAGCGCTTTAGTCTTTCATTCTAATTGCAGCACAACCCAACTTCTCCCTTTAACAAACCTGCTTCCTTTCCTTCCCTTCCACTGGTGTTAAGCCAAGAACATTTCCCCAGTAAACCTTCTGAACAATAACTACACCTCAAAGTCTGTCTCCTGGGAGACCCAACCTGAAACATTACATTCGACTTTCAAAAGTCTAGAAGCTATGTTTAAATTCTAGGATAACCTCTAAAAGAGTACAAAAACAAAATGTAAGATTAGCAAACTAAAAGAGGTAAAATAGAATAATAAAAAATAATCCAGGCTGGGTGTGGTGGTTCACGCCTGTAATCCCAGCACTTTGGGAGACTGAGGTGGGTGGATCACTTGAGGCCAGGAGTTCAAGACCAGCCTGGCCAACATGGCAAAACCCCATCTCTACTAAAAATATAAAAATTAGCAAGGCATGGGTGGTACATGCCTGTAATTCCAGCTACTCAGGAGGGCAAGGCACAAGAATTGCTTAAATCTGAGAAGACAAGGTTTCACTGAGCTGAGATCATTCCACTGCACTCCAGCCTGGGCAACAGAACAGAGACTCTGTCTCAAAAATAACAATCATCATCATCATCATCATCCAAAAGAAGGCAAGAAAGGGAACGTAGAACAGGTGAATTAACCAGATGACTGTTAAACTTATGAAAAGACAATCAGTAATAATCAAGAAAATGCAAATTAAAGCAATACAATTATTCATCCAATAGATTTGGAAAGATTTAAAGAATGATACCATCCAGCACTGGCAAGGATTCCAGATTACGGACTCTTTCACATATTGCTAGTGGGAATGTAAACTGTTACCACCATTTGCAAAAGCAACTTGGTAATAGATATTTAAATTAAATATTCATTGACCCTTTGTAGCAGAAACTAACTATTCAAAAAAATTGTTTCCTCTTGTTCTGGGCACACCTACACTACATTTTCCAGATTCTTCTGTAGGAGACAACTGAGTCCTAGCTCAGTTATGACATGACATTCCCTTGTCAAAGGTAGCAAGCTCCTGTGGCCTGAACCCTGGAGTGATTATGTGTAGGAGACCTCTGAGTACCTGGAACTAATGTGGACTATTTTACTTTTATTATGTTTGAAAGATGATATATTCTAGGGTCTATTTGTTACAGCAGTTAGCTTACTGTAACCTATATATCCTTTGACCCAACAATATTACTTACAGGCATCTGTCTTTAGAGGTAAAATTATAGAATACATAAGACCCTTTGTGTAAGGAAACATATGACCAGAGCAACCTGAATGTTCATTAGTAAGAGAAAAGAGTTGCATCAGTTATAATACATCCATACTAAGGAATATTATGCAGCTATTAGGAGTTATCTCTGTGCCTACTGACCTGGAGAGACTACCATAATGGTTAAGGGGGAAAAAAACCAACCTGATACAAATGCTTAATATAATTTATTTTGTAAGAAAAGAGAAACTGACCCCAAAAAAATGGCATATACATGTGTGCATATATTTGCATGAGGATGGAGAAAGGTATGCAAAAATGTGAATCAAGTTTTTAACATTAATTATCTCAGTGATGTAAGAATGAGCAAATACAGGCTATGGGAAAGAAAAAAAGAATAACAGAATGGAAGCCTATCTCAGTGTAATATTGAATACAAATGTAGAATATAAAATTGAATCATTAAATATTAAATCAAATATGTAAAAATTAAATATATATGTATGTAGAGAAGGATGAGAAGGTAATATCAACTTATATAAAATTCACTTTTGTCTTAAATGTTAATATTTTAATGTTACTTTTATAATTTTAAAAAAACTGGAAAAAAAAAAAGGAACAGGCTTAACCCCTACCTAGACTGGGCTTTTTATGCCACATAGTGACCATTTTTCTAAACTGACCAGCCTGGATTTGAGACTATGTAGTGGTGTTGGGGTTGTGTCAGTGTCTTGTCGAGCCCAAAAGTCCACTAAGCACTATGAGGGTGGAGTTTTCCCTGAAAAAAAAAAAAAAAAAGTCCCCATAGTCAGTCCTCCCAGGTAGAGTTCAAATCTGGAATAGGAAATGAAGGTGCGAGAGGCAAGTGTTAGACTAGAATAACTTCTTAAACTTTAATGTTCTTACAAATTGCCTAGAAGCCTTATTAAAATACAGATTATATTTCAGTGGGTCTAGGGCAGGGCCTATGATTCTGCATGTCTCATAACTTTCTAGGTGATGCTGACACTGCCAGTCCTTGGACCACACTTTGCACAGCCCAAGGACTAGTGTAAGGGAAATCTTTCTACTCTCTCTGGGGGCAGAAGCAGAATACAGGAAGCAGGGGGCGAGGTGTTAGCTAAGTTGCCCCAGACAAAGCAGGAATAAGACCGGGAGCTGGGCTACCAAGACACTCTGAAGATGGCCTGAGCCATGCATGCCTCAGTTGCGAGCTCCTGTACATAGGCACTCCCCCCTCCATCAACCTCAAACCTTCTGTGAAGTCTTGTTAAAAGTTACATCCCAGGCCCTGCTGCATTGTCAGGAATTACAAGTGATAATTCCTGGAAAGACTGATCCCATGCTTATGATGAAGTGTCAACAGTAACAGCTGGGTCTGTTTCCCCTGAGGTCAATGCAGTGGTTGCAAAGGGCTCCCCAGCAGGAGGAGCCCTGGTAGCCTCTGTCCAGGTGATATGAGGAGCAGAAGCTGCCAAATAGCACCCTTGATGGGAGAAGAACTGAGGCCGTTTCTGAACAGAGAGCAGCACTCTGGCACATCCACCAAATAAAAATGAACCTAGCTAAAATGGCTTGAGCAACAAAAAGGGGTTATTTTCTCATGTAACAAAGAGTCTGGAAGTCAAGGAATTTCAGGGTTGGGTGGTTCTCAATCCAACGACACCATTAAAGACCCAGGGACTTCCTGTCTTTCTGCTCTGCCCTCCCAGGCATGTTGGCTTTTGTCTCAGGCTGTCCCTTCATGGTGGCCAGATGACTGTGGATGGTTTAGGCATCACAAGGTCACACAACACGTAAGACAGAACACCCCTTCCTTGTATCCCTGGCAAAGATAACTTTCCCAGAAGCAGCACCCTCTTTCTCCAGTCCTCCTTGCAACTCAAGAGCCAGAATTGCTCTACATGCCAAGTTCCTCTACCAACCACAGAACAGGGGAACAAGATTCCCTTGCTTGGCTTACAGGAATAAGATGATCTCTCTTTATGTGAGTGGGGTCTAAGCTTCCTTAACAATGCAGCTGCCTGATTCCCGAACAAAACTGTGGTCTGTGAGCAGGGAAATACCTGGACTGGGAACATGTACTGGTGTTGGGGTTGGATGGGAGAATGAATTTGGGAAAAGCAGACAGTGGTGTCTTCCATTCCTGAAAACACCCATAAATATATGGAAGGTTCTTTGAGGGGTGTTACTTTCCGTCAATAAAGGTAGTAGGTGGTCAAGACACCATCCTGCAGTCATAAATCAACCCTGGAAGACAAAGGAAAAGAAAAATTAAGGAAGTGGATAGAGATCAAGTTTCACCAAGAACTATAAAGATCCAAACAAAGGGCCCCGTGTGAACTATGCACATTCCTACTTCAGTGCTTTTACCTGTGCGGTCTGAACTGCCTCACCCCTACACACACACCTACCTGGCACACTCTCTTGTCTTTTATCACAGACCTTCATTCCCTCCATTTCAAGTCTGTCACACTTCAGAAACTTCTCTAACGAATCCAGCCTACAATAATTTATCCATTCTCTGTATTCCTTGAGCATTTGTAGTCTATAACACACTCTGTCATTTAACTATAGTGTGCATTTTCTGGAACTATTAGTTTTTATACATGATTATAACAGGATGTTAAAATGGAACTCTTTCTGACTCCTCTAGAGCACCTAGAAAATAGGTGTCAGCTATCCTCACTTTCCAAAGCAAGATGTCAAACCATCTATGCAAGAATTCCAAGGAAAAGGTCTCACAATTTTGAATGTTCTCACCACAAAGAAATGACGTGTTTGAGGTGATGGATAGGGTAATTCTCCTGATTTGATCATTACACAATGTATACATGTATCAAAACATCACACTGTGTCCCATAAATATGTACAATTATTGTGTCAATTAAAAACAAAATAAAACTTTTAAAAAATGGGGAAAAAAATGGTCTGAGAAACAGTTTTGTGACCATTGTCCTTAATGGTATAAAATGTTGAAATTGAGCAACCTGGGAAGTAGACGTTTTCATTCTCCTATTAGTGTGCTTTCTGTCTTAACGTCCCGTTACAGGATTGGATTCAACTGCAAGTGAAAGAAAACACAAAGCAAATGACTTCTAAAAGAAAGAACTGTATTCCTCTCTCATTTAAATACTAAAGTAATGGCTCAAGGCTGATATGGTGAATCTATCCACATTCCCACCAGTAAGAAAGGAGAAAGGTCTAAGTCCTTTTAAGGAGACTTCCTGAACACAGCACACACACAGTCTTTATAGCCCATTGGCCAGAACTGAGTGACATAACTAACCCTAGTTACAAGGAAGACTGGGATATGTAAACTTTATTCTGAAAAGCCCTATGCCCAGTCAAAAGTCTAAGGCTACATCACTGCGGAAGACACAGTGAGGAAACTAGGTGTTTCTTCCATAATCCACCTCTTTTTTTTTTGTTTTCCTTGAAATAAGATCTCGCTGTGTTACCCAGGCTGAAGTGCAGTGGCACAATCATTGCTCACCTCAGCCTCAACCTCTCAGACTCAAACAATCCTCCCACCTCAGACTCCCATGTAGCTGGAACTACAGGTGCACATCACCAGGCTCGGCTAATTTTTTAATTTTTTGTAGAGAGGGGATCTCACTATGTTGCCCAAGCTGGTCTCAAACTCCTAGACTCAAGCAATCCTCTCTCCTTGGCCTCCCAAAGTTCTGAGATTACAGATATGAGCCACTGTGCCTAGCCCCACAATCCACCTCTTTAACCCTAAAAATGCCCATGTGCACCCATCTTGAAATACATAGAACATACCCATCCTTTCCATAAAAGAAGGCAATAACCCAATCAGTAACTGCATTCAGCTTAAATCCAGAGTGTATGACTGGTGCCCAGTCCTCTCCATCAGGCCCAGATGCAGCTCTCAGTGGTCAGGTGATCTATATGCTAATAGTGAGTTATCTTCCCATCACATACCTAAATTTAAAATGATAGAGAAGAAACAAGATAACAACAATTTCTAAAGACTCCCATTTGGAAATGGGGAGAAGGGGAAATGCCCAGAAGTCACTGGCCCATAACTATTACATAACCCACTGGGCAGGAATAGCAAAGGCTCCTGTCCTGATTCATAGTGAAGTCATTTCCTTGGTTGGACACTCTGGCAGCTTCTCACTCTCCTTTCTGAGAATAATTCCCTTGTCCACTGGCCCTGGCTTTTCCTTCTGGAAGTTTCTCCTTTATCCATCATCCTCTTGACCACATCTGAAATGGGCCTTGGAGGGCACACACAATCTCCTTTCACACACTCTTCCTGCTAATGCAGTCTCTGGAACACAGGCATTACTCTACAGAATGCTGCTCACAGGTTTTTTTGTTTCCAATATGATTCCCTCAAAATTTTAGTAGGCTTCCAGTTTATCTGTTTCCATGTGTGCAAAACCACACATAACAATGTCATCTAGACACAGCTTTTAAGCCTAAAGTCTCAGGCTTTTTACTTACTGGCCAGTGTTTGGCCACACCTGTCTCTCTCTCTTAACATAGTAGCTACTGAAACAAAAGGTTTGGTAAGATTTGATTTTTGCAACCAGCTAAGCTGATTCCCATGATGGCAGAGAACTCGTAAAGTAAGTTGCTTGAAGAGGGTTTGGGGCCACAGTGCTACATGTTAGCGAGGCTGTCATTTTGCAGCCACCTCTTGGGGCAGGTTCAAGTTGGGGTACAGACACAGTCAGCTTAATTAACACTTCAAACACCTCCAAATTGCTAGACTCCCAGTCAAGTTAGAGTGCAGGCTGCATCCCAGAGTGCCTCCCTTAGCAAAGTGACATTTCCTTCCACATCCGCTTGTAGACTAGCTCTCAGCTGAATTCAACTCTCTCCTGTAGGACTTTGCTAAAAGCAGCAAAAAGCTGCCTGACCACCAATATTCTAGGCTTTTTCTACCATTTTCACTAACACATGGTCTGCCTTTTGAGGTGTAGCAGATGCAATTTTACCCAATGTTTTTTGCTACCATCTAATGGAGATGACCTTCTTCCTATTCTGCAACATCTATGTTTCTGCAGCCTATCACCTTCCCAAGCTAATGCTTAGCACTCCATTTCAAGACAAAATTCTGAATTACTTAGTATTAGGTTCAGTTGTGTCAGACAACCCATAATAATAGTGGATTTGCTTGTGGGTTGTTTGTTTGTTTGTTTATTTGTTTGTTTTGAGATGGAGTCTCGGTCTGTGGCCCAGGCTGGAGTGCAGTGGTGCAATCCCAGCTCACTGCAACCTCTGCCTCCCGGGTTCAAGCGATTCTCCTGCCTCAGCCTCCCAAGTAGCTGGGACTACAGGCGCACTATGCTGCCACACCCACCTAATTTTTTTGTATTTTTAGTAGAGACGGGGTTTCACTGTGTTAGCCAGGATGGTCTCAATCCCCTGACCTCATGATCCACCCGCCTCGGCCTCCCAAAGTGCTGGGATTACAGGCATGAGCCACTGTGCCTGGCTTTTTTTTTTTTTTTTTCCTCTGAACTTTTCATTGGCCTCCTGCTGCCCAAAGGGTCCCCTGGTTCTGCTAACTTAATGTCTCAGAACTTTGGTGGTGTTGGTCTCAGACCCCACTTTGCCATCCACTATCCAGCGGGTGGTGGTCTTTTGGATGGTTTGCATGGAGTTGCTGCTGTCCAGGGCATCACCAAGATTGAAGTCCTTGCCATCTTCCAGCAGGCGGTGGTAGATGGCAATCTCAGCCTCCAGCTTGACCTTGATGCTCAGCAGGCCCTCGAACTTCTAGGCGTGGCACTGTTGCCCCGGCCCAGGTCTGTGCCAGCTCTGACTCTAGGTGCAGCAGGATCCTGTTGAACTTCTCCATCTGCAGGGAGTAGCAGGCCTCCACCTTCCTCAGGCCGTTCTCCAAGCTGGCCTTCAGATTTCTCATGGAGACCAGGTTGATCTCCAAGCAGCTCCGTGAGTGTCATCTCAGAAGCTCCAACCTTGGTGGACTGCATGGTGACTACTGTGATGCTCTCCTCAATCTGCTGAGACCAGTACTTGTCCAGCTCCTCTTGGCTCTTCTGAGCCAGCTCACCATATTGGGCCTGGATGTCTGCCATGATCTTGGCGAGGTCCTGAGATTTGGGGACATCTACCTCCACAGTCAACCCAGAGTTGGCAATCTGGGCTTGTAGGCCTTTTATTTCCCCTTCTTGGTTCTTCTTCATGAAGAGCAGCTCTTCCTTGAGAGCCTCGATCTCTGTCTCCAGCTGTAGCCGAGTGACACTGGTGTCATCAATGACCTTGCAGAGCCCATGGATGTTGCTCTCCACAGACTGGCGCATGGCCAGTCTCTGACCTGGGCTCCCTTCTTCTCCAGGTGCTCCCAGATTTTGCTCTCCAGCTTCTGATTCTTGGTCTTCAGGCTCCTCACTCTGTCTAGGTAGGAGGCCAGGCGGTTATTCAGGCTTTGCATGGTCTCCTTCTTGTTCTGGATGTCTCCCATCCTGCCAGACCCCCGGCCATCCCCACAGCCAGGGCCCCAGACCCCATGCCACCCCGGAAACTGGTGGAGGGGGACACAGAGATCTGGGAACCAGAGCCCCCAACACCTGCATAGATGCTGGCCACACTGCTGACGGGCCGGGTGTCTTAGCTGGGTGCCTGGACAGAGCCCAGGGACCGGTAGTTGGTGGAGAAGGTGGAGCGAGTGGTGAAGCTCATGCTGTCCAGTGGGGGGAGAGAGAGAGGGGACAGGACTCAGGCTTTACCAATGATGAACAGTGGATTTTAAAAGATGGAAGTTTTTTTCTCTCACACATGCACGTTTCAGTAGTCAGTGTGTGTCTGACTCATCAGGGGCCCAGGCTGCTTCCTGCCTACTGCCCGACCTCCTCAACATGCTGCTCCCACTTCTGCAAGCAAGATCTCAGCCAACTGCCTTCCATCCAGTGGAAAAGCGGGTTGAGGAGAAGGCCATGCCATCTCCTTTTGAAGATATTTCCTGGAAGTTGCCTACACTGCATGTACCCAATATGCCATTGATCAGAATTTAGTACCATGACAATGGGACTCCACACGCCATTGATCAGAGTTTAGTCCCATGGTGGTTAGCTGCTAGGGAAACTGAGAAATGTTGTCTTTATTCTGAAAAGCCATGTTTGCAGATGAAACTCACTCTATCATTGTAGGAAAACAAATGGAAAAAAAATTGGGGAACAACTACTGTTTTCTGCCAAAGTGGTATTTCCCCTCACCTCAAACCTGGTGGAATGAGCTTCTGGGAGACAAAATCAAGCTTGTCCAAGGTCCCCTGAAGTCTGTGGGGTACCGGAGGGTGGTGCCAGAATGCTGGATGAATGAGCCTAAAGGGAAAGGGTGGGTACCAGGGCTGAAAGCAGAGAGAGGAGAGGAGGGCCTGCATGACTGAGGGAGAGCTGGCCTGGCACCCTCTTAAGGGACTTTGTCTAAGATGGCCTCCTGGGGGCCACTGGGACACAACAGAGTCTCCCTGTGTGAGTCGTCAGATCACTGGAAAACCAAAGAAACTGCAGAGAAGAGACTCCCAGAGAGGAAAGGCAATCTCCAAAGAATACACAAATTTTTGCTTCTGTCCCCAAAGCAAATCAACTTCAAACTTCTCCCACAGCCAGAATAAGCCATGTCAGGTGGCACTGATGCCAGTCACAGGAGACTCTCCCAGCCATTAGTTGTCCTCCCCTCCCGCCCACCCCAACCTCAGAACAGTCAGCAACATCGGTGAGCAAGCTGGCTAGGAGGAAAACACTCGTAAGGTCAGGTGAGAAGTCAAGGCTTCTCAAGCCTTCCTCCCTAACTCAGAATTGTAGGCCAGAGAAAGAGACCAGGAGAGCTTTTCATTTTAAATAAAATCGGAATTTTTCATGATTTATCTAGAATTGCACATTTCATTTCTGTGGTTCTCAACCCTGGCTATCCATCTGGAATTCCTGGGAAGGTTTAAAAATACTGCCGGGCGCGGTGGCTCAAGCCTGTAATCCCAGCACTTTGGGAGGCTGAGACGGGCGGATCACAAGGTCAGGAGATCGAGACCATCCTGGCTAACACGGTGAAACCCCGTCTCTACTAAAAAAATACAAAAAACTAGCCGGGCGAGGTGGTGGGCGCCTGTAGTCCCAGCTACTCAGGAGGCTGAGGCAGGAGAATGGCGTAAACCCGGGAAGCGGAGCTTGCAGTGAGCTGAGATCCGGCCACAGCACTCCAGCCTGGGTGACAGAGCAAGACTCCGTCTCAAAAAAAAAGAAAAAAAAAAAAATACTGATGTCTGGGCTTCATCCTCAAAGATTCTTTTTTTTTTTTTTCATCACCAAAGATTCTTATTTCACTAGTCTTGGGGGTAGCCTGGGCATCAATATTTTTTAAGAGCTGCCCGGGCAATTCTGATGGGCCGGGTTGAAAACCACTGTGATAATATTGAATTAAGAACATTTTTGCAAACAAAAGATCCTGGAGTAGCCAGAAAAGTGATGGAACTTTCTCTAGATCCGACCCAAGGAATGGAGAGCTAACCCCACAGTCCAGGCTTAGACGGAAAGGATGACAACATTTTACAACTGCATCTGCAGGAGTCCTCACTTTCAATCTAACAGTTATATAAATCCTACTTCTTCAAAATCAGAAGCCTCTTCAGGGCAAAGGCCATGACAGGATTCTATGGACTTGCTACATTCATGGCAAGAGTTTAGTATATGCTTGTTGTCCTGTTGTTAATCTCTGACCTCCATGCTGGGATAAATCAAAGTGTCCTTTCTGATGCACTAAAGGCAAACTAAGGTGACTCCAAGAGAACCTTACATTGTCCCACATTTAAGCAAATTGTTGTCGCACTAATATAAGGAAAGGTCTTCCAGAAGGCTAAAATCACCAACATTGCATTGCAGATTTAAGGAGTAGGCTTAGTGTCTGGGAATGCTTGAAACCTACCTGGTTTAGTGAAGCTGATCCGGTTGATTAAGTCAGAACTTACCCCTCCATCTCTGTCTCATTCCCACATCTCCTAACCTGATGCAGAGGACAGTCTTACTGTTCACACCATCACCACGACCACCATCCTCAGTCACGGGGAATCCTGCCCCACTAAAACAGTCAAGGCACAATGACAGAATGCAGGAAAAAGCCAAAAACTTGAAAAACCACGAGCTGATCTCCAGGAATAGCTTTAGTCAGCCAACCCAAAAATGTCACATCCCAAAGTAGAGGCCTCCAGCATCAGGATTCCACCAGAGATGCTTCTCGAAATGTTCCTGATTCCCCCAAGCTCATGTTTATTGTACAACTCCATCAAACAGACAGGGGCTGATTGCCTAATGCATCGTGTGCCAAGACTCGACACTTGAGAAATCACCTTTTCCTGTGGGTGGATCCTGAAGCTTGGTATCAAGACAGCCTCCTTTCCATAACCTAAAAAGGAAAAGCAAATACTTTGAAGTATGTGCTAGTATGAGAACTGGCCTTCTCCATCACTACCTGCTGTCTTTTGTCTGATTCAAGGACTTTTTTTTACCTAGAAATAAAATGGACTCCACCATGAGCCCAAACCCAGACAGAAGTCTGCTTAAACTGCATTTGGTGAAAAGAGGCTTCTAACCCCAACATATTTTTCTAGACTTTTTCTAGCAGAGAGAAGCCCCCACATGAAAGGTAAGTTCAACCAGAGATGAAGTCCCTTGTTCATTCAGACACAAAAAGCTTCACCCTGTTGCCCTCCCCCTGCAACACTATGTCATCCTCAGGAAAGTCAGTTAACTTCTAGAGGGATCCATTTTAAAAGCTCCCCCAGATACTTGCAGTGCTGTCTGCAATGTCCATATTTTACCCTTTAGAAGCCCCACCTGCCGTGCGTTCTATCCTGGGTATTCCAACAGCACCAAGCCATGAGCCCCCCGTCTTTGGTTTTAATCAGGTATTAAACACTGAAACGTTAGATAAGCGAAGCATTTGAGGATGACGATAACGAGTGGCCCATTAAAGGTAATTTTTTTTAAGTTAATGAGTTCTCCCCAAAGAACAGAGCCACGTACTGTACTGAAAAATGTCTGTAGGACGTACTGCACTTTCTCGTTATTTATTTAACTTTATGTGGATGCCATAAAACTTCTTTATTTGCTTTCAGTTAGCCCATAGGTTTTGACAAGATAAATTTTTATTTAGGTCTTTGCCCAGCTACAATCAGAAACAGGAGACTCACTTTCCAAAGCCAGGCTGAT